ACTTAGGACTAAATCCAAGAATTGCCTCTCCTCTTTTGGGTTCCATGAATAGCTGCTCCAAGAAGCAGTCATTTAAGATGTCAAGAAACTTTATCTCTGCAGCCCTTCCTGAGGTGATATGTACCCAGTCAATAGGGGGATAGTTGAAATCCCCCATTATTATTGAGTTTTCTATTTTAATAGCCTCTCTAATCTCCCTGAGCATTTCACAGTCACTATCACCATCCTGGTTAGGTGGTCGGTAATGTATCCCTACTGCTATATTCTTATTATTCAAGCATGGGATTACTATCCATAGAGAGTCTATGATACAGTTTGGTTCATTTGATTCTATGCTTTCTTTCACAGATAGTGCCACTCCCCAACCAGCACGGCCTGGTCTGTCCTTCTGATATATTTTGTACCCGGGTATTACTGTGTCCCATTGATTATCCTCATACCACCAAGTTTCTGTGATGCCTGTTATATAAATATCCTCATTTAATATGAGGCACTCTAATTCACCCATCTTATTATTTAGACTTCCAGCATTTGTATATAAGAACTTTAAAAACTTGTTACTTTTTAACTGTCTGCCATTACATGATGTAATTGAATGGGACTTTTTTTCTTTTGACTGTTTCTCATCAGATCCTGCCTGTATTTTATCATCTTCCATCCTCTCCTCCTTATTAGGACATAGCGAATCTCCATTTATAGATCTTCCCCTAAGGGATGTCTGAACCACATGCTCCTCCGCATCTGTCGGCTTTCCCTCAGCCCTTAGTTTAAAAACTTCTCTATGACCTTTTTAATTTTAAGCGCCAGCTATCTGGTTCCATTTTGGTTTAGGTGGAGCCCATCCTTTCTGTATAGGCTCCCCCTTTCCCAAAAGTTGCCCCAGTTCCTAATAAATCTAAACCTCTCCTCCCTACCCCATTGTCTCATCCACGCAGTGAGACCCTGCAGTTCTGCCTGTCTAACTGGCTTTGCATGTGGAACTGGAATTATTTCAGAGAATGCTACCATGGAGGTCCTGAACTTCAGTCTCTTACCTAGCAGCCTAAATTTGGTCTCCAGGACCTCTCTTCTATCTTTCCCTATATTATTGGTACCTACGTGTACCAGGACCACTGGCTCCTTCCCAGTACTACACATAAGCTTATCTAGATGTCTCGAGAGATCTGCAACCTTCGTAACAGGCAGGCAAGTCACAATGCAGTTCTCCTGGTCATCGCAAACCCGGCTATCTATGACAGGTTTCAGAGTAGCAGCCGTGTTAGTCTGTATCCGCAAAAAGAAGAACAGGAGTACTTGTGGCACCTTAGAGACTAACAAATTTATTAGAGCATAAGCTTTCGTGGACTACAGCCCACTTCTTCGGATGCATCCGAAGAAGTGGGCTGTAGTCCACGAAAGCTTATGCTCTAAT